TTATACACGCTCCTACTTACCCCCCCCCCCACCCACACACACCCATCCTGATTTTTCACATTTGCTGTCTGGTCAGCCTATATATGGCCTAATGGAGCCCTAAAGTGGTCATGAATTTGGTCCAGCCTCACGGTGCTGTGGTTGGCTGTCAATATTAACACCCTCTCGCAAGCCTCCTAGAATATAACCTGGATTATTTCCTTTTTAAAATGACCCGTTTCGCACAATATTGTCAATCATCAAGGACTAGACACCCAGAGCCTGCCTCTCCGTTGCCCTGGGCCTTATGCAATAGGTTACACCAGTGCAAAGTGGTGGTGAGAGGCTGCCGTTCTGATCTGGTAGCTGTTTGCACCCCACTTTGCACTGGGGTAAATGACTGTGCCCGGTGTGGTGCAGCGGAGAATCGGGTCCACAGGCACAGGGAGCGAGCGCAGACAATGCGACACTTCGAGGGCTGCCCCAACCACTGGGTAGGGATTCTGGTGGGGTAGGGATTCTAAGAACCCTTGTTAAGCATCCCCTGCCCTACTCAGTTGGAACTGGATTTTGACACATTGGCTGGTTCCAGTCCATAGGCTTCATTTAGCTGCACCCCACACACGGACGCAAGTGTGTGCCTATCCAAGTATCCGTAACATGGTCTCTGCCGTGACAGTATTTTAATGCAACCAACCACCAAGTCTCTAATAGGATCCTTTCCTCCCTGTATTGTTTCTCTGTCCCTCTGGACCCTTGTGATTGTATCGTTAACCTGAACGTGTGCAAACCATTCTTCCCTCTGAGAGCAGTTCTCGCCGTGCATCCCTCCGTGCTGTCAGGCTCCCCCCGTCGGTCTCTACTTGCTGCTGATGTTACTGGCTTGCTTCAGGAAGGTGAATTCTCATGGTGTAACTTCCCCAACTGGCTCGAGAGCAGGCACACATCTGCAGGTAGTTTTCCTGGACCTTGTCGCTGGGTGACATGGAGATAATGTAGGGTGACCAGATGTCCCGATTTTATAGGGACAGTCCCAATTTTTGGGTCTTTTTTTTATATAGGCTCCTATTACCCCCCCCACCCCCTGTCCCGATTTTTCACACTTGCTGTCTGGTCACCCTAAGATAATGTGGCAAGGGGAAAACTATTTTCCTGCTGATCTGAGGCACGCACAAGGATTTCCATGGTGGCTGTGTCAGAGAATTCTCATTCTGCGATCCACAATGCTACGGGTTTGTCGTGCCGGGGAGGGAGCACAAATTTCACCCCATCAAAGGCTGCATTGGTGACTTGCTAAGAGCCTAAGGGACTGCACCGAATGTCAACTCTCCTCCGGTACAAAGCTCCTTCCACCTTGAAGAAGACTGGCCGCATTGCATGCTGGGATCTACGTATGGTCCTGGTTCTCTGTCTGTTTGCACTAGTGCAAAGCAGGAATAACTCCAGAGAAGTCCGTGGCATTCAGACCAGTGTGAGATCAGAACCAGGCCAGTCAGGTAGCAAGCTCACTGTCCCTGCAAGCTGCCACGCCATATTAAGGGCGATGGTACCCATAAGCCACATGGTAGAACTTTATGGACAACGTTTTGCCAGCCACAAGCTATGGTGGACTTTGCATTTGTAGAACTGCTTTCCACCATTGATCTCAAGGCAGGTAAATGTGATTCCTATTGTACTGAGAAACCTAGGCAGCTGGTGGTTCAGGCCCGACAGTGAATTAGTGGGCGTTGGGCACAGAACCCATGAACCCTTGCACTTACTCCCCTGGTCTAACCACTAGACTGTGCTGCTTGCCTGTATACGTACACTTAGGGCAGGTCTACACTACTGCTTAAGTCGATCTAACTTACCTCGCTTGGGGGGGCTGTGTGTGAAAAAGCCCCCTCCCAAGCGACGCAAGTTTCATGCTGTCCACACCGACAGACGCTCTCCTGACGACATAACTTCCGTTTCTTGCCGCGGTGCAGTATTTATGCCAATGGGAGAGCGCTCTCCTGTCAGCACAGCTCGTCGTCACCAGATGTGTTCCAGCGGTGCAGCTGTGCAGATGTAGCACTGGAATGGAGACGTGCCCTCATTTAATGTACTGATAAAACATGCGTGCCGTGCCTTAGCCTGATTCTAAACTTGAGAACTGCAATCTAAAAAAACCTAGAATTAGTTCATTAATTATTTTTCAAGTCACCCGGTTAGCATATTCGCCCACTGCAGGAGATACGGCATCAGGGACAGACTGGTTTCTTTTTGCCACCTTTTTCATTTTAGAAATAACACCCCCCCCAACCCAATTTACACCTCCCAGCAGTCTGGAGCTACCTGACCCCATCAGGTCCTGCTCTCTCCCACACACCTTTCCTGCTTCCTGTGAACCTGGGCTACTTTCCAGCTTCTGGTTCTGTTCAAGAGTCTATGCTGGGAGCTTCCAAAGCTGTTTTCCTGCCAGCAGGGAAGCCAACTGATGCCATTAGTGATGGGAGCCAGATTGAGATCCAGCAATACATTTCACATAGACCATCAAGTGGTAACCGCTAACCGGGGCCATGTCTGAGTCCGTATCTCCTAAAGATGGATCTATCCAGTTCCCTGCTACATGTGTGCGCAGTTCAGCTGCCAGCAAATATGCTTTTCCATGGCACAGAAGCTGCTAACCAAGATACTAAGGCAGTCCCTTTCCTCCTCTGAGTAGCTGCATTAACCCCTTCATCTCCTCAGGATGCCCAGTGAAGGACTGGGGTGAAGCTCTCAGAACACTCTTCGGACATACCTTATGTTCCTATAACTTCAGACAGCCATTGACATGGTCCTGCTGTGTCCATGGACTCAATGATATCGAGAGACCTAGGCATCCCCTAGTATTGGTTCAGGTAGGGCCAACATACAACTGTTGAACTTGAAGGAGCTCTCTAATTCCCTCTATGTGGCTGGAAAGCTCATTTGCAGCGTAAACCATTTCAAATGCAGGTAGTGCTGAAATGCCTTACCGGTTCCTATCCACCCGAGTGATTCACAGACACGGTCAAGGGATGTGTCAAATGGAAACACCTGCAACGTGAAGAGCAAATTGCTACCAGATGGAGCGTGCTTCTAAGGGAGGAGAAAGGCCAAGTTAAAGGATGCCCAACTAGGAGAGGAGCAATTTCTCCTGTACTCTGAGCATGGGAGGGGAGTGGCTGTAATGATGTCTGGAAAGAAGGGGAACAAAAGGTGTTGTGGTTGGATGCAAACCTCAGCTTGCATGAGAATTGTGTTTTTGTTGTGTGGGGTTTTTTTTGTTTTGTTTTTAAAGGAAGGAACAGAGTTGAGGGTTTCCCCAGGATCTCCAGATCTCTGTGTGAACTTCACACAGTTTCAGGAGCTGTGAACTCTTGAGCGATACTTGGTGTCTGTAGGGGATTTCAAACTACCCCCTGCTGTGTAATAGGGATGGAAGAGGCCTCCAGACCAAACTAGTTTAGCACAAGCAGATGCCCCTGTATATACTATAAACGGTGGGCCCGATTTCCCCATTGCCCTGCACCTTGTTCAGTCAGTGCAAAGTTGGCATGAAACACTGCCCGGCTGATTTGCTAGTGTTTTACTTACGTAAGGTGCAGGGCAACAGACCATCAAGCCCCATGTGTGTCTATATTTTCATTCAAAACTCTCCTCTCCCCTTCTCTCTGCTCCCTTCCTCACCTGACTGAAATGCGAACCACGAACACGTGACTCTGAGTTCAAGTCTGGAACCTACATTGGTTAGTACAGGGGTTGGCAACCTTTCAGAAGTGGTGTGCCGAGTCTTCATTTATTCACTCTAATTTAAGGTTTTCCATGCCAGTAATACATTTTAATGTTTTTAGAAGGTCTCTTTCTATGTCTATAATATATAACTAAACTTGTTGTATGTAATGTAAATACACCTCTACCCCGATAGAACGCTGTCCTCGGGAGCCAAAAAATCTTACTGCGTTATAGGTGAAACTGCGTTATATCGAACTTGCTTTGATCCGCTGGAGAGCGCAGCCCGCCACCCTAGAGCGCGGCTTTACCACGTTATATCCGAATTCCTGTTATATCGGGTCGCATTGTAGAGGGGTAAGGTTTTTAAAATGTTTAAGAAGCTTCATTTAAAATTAAGTTAAAATGCAGAGCCCCCCCCCCGGACCAGCGGCCAGGTCCTGGGCAGTGTGAGTGCCACTGAAAATCAGCTCGCGTGCCGCCTTTGGCACACGTGCCATAGGTTGCCTACCCCTGGGTTAGTAGGTAAAACAAGTTTGCCTAGCCTCTACCCCAGGCCTAAGGCATGTTAGGGTAGCGTGGGAGGGGGATGCAGATTGATTCCACTTCCCACTCTAAAGGCGGGGGTCCCTCTGAAGATGCAGACCCCACTCTTCCAGGGGAGCCCCTGAAGTTTCACTTAAGGAGGCAGACTCAGAAGGCTGGTTCTGCCGGAGAAAGCTCTTGCAGGCCTACAAATATCTTAGTAGCCAGCAGTGAGTCAGGAAGAACTTTCTCTACTGGACAAGCCCAGGGAAACAGACGCTGGGATAAGTGAGATCATCTCATTATGTTTCTTGAAGGGCTGATCCAGCAAACACCTACTCATCCATGGAATCCTTTGAACTCGCACACAATGGGTCTGCACGCATAAGGATTTGCAGGCTCGGTGCTTTTGTAGTGTTGGAAGTGAGTTGGATCTGAGACTCACGACTGGGTCCAGTCGGGCTCTGACAGCAGGACTGTCACAAATGGCCACTGATCTTGAGTGCCTGACTGCACACACCTTAAGGGGTCCCCAATCAGGGGACCCCCAATCAGAGGCACCCATAGGCAGTGGACTGATTATCCCCATATTGCAGATGGGGAATCCAAGGCCCAGAGAGGAAGTAACTTGACCCCAGTTCTGCGGGGGCTCAGTCCACTGTCTTTTAGCAACAACCCAATCGCAGCGTTTGCATCCTGTAAATATTACTACAGAAATCCCGCATCTATGTCCCACCCCACCCACGTTCCTGTCTGGGACTTGCCTTGTTGTACGACAGCAAAGGAGCAGAGCGCTGGGGCGAGAGGAGGGAGTTTGGACTCTCCGTCGCCCATGAAACTGGGCCAAGGTGAATACAGTTGTTCCATATGAATCTACTTGGAATCAAATGTCTTTCAGGAGAACCATTCTTTCTGAGGCATGAATGCTCATTTCCCTGCTATTGCAGGGGGACTTGGGCCTATTCTCTGCCTGTGGCACATGTCTAGGCTCCTGTGGGCTGTCATACTTTGGTCACTGGGTTTAGTGTGTAGGTGCTGGGTGGCGGAGGTGGCCTGAGATATATATATATATATAGGTCAAACTAGATGATTTGGTGGCCTCTTGTGGCCTTATATAGCAGTTACCAGCTCTGTGTCATGTCAGCGTGGAGAACTGGATTAGTTCTATGGATAGAAATCTTTGGCCTCTAGTCTTGTCATGCCAGTCAGCACATTTATACAACCCTTTATTCTGCATTGGCTTCTGTGGACCAGAAAGGCGCATGCAGCCCTACCAGAGCCCATGCGCTTTGAGGAGCGAGAGTCTTGCAAAGGTCAGAGCCTTTTATGTTGCACATCATCCTTGTGCATGGTCCCCTGCTGTTGGAGTTGTATTTAAAGGGACTTAGGGTAGATTTAAAAAGGTATTCAGGCACCTAAAGGTGCAGAAAGATACATAGTGGGATTTTAAAAAGCACCCAACTACGTTAGTCACCTCGCGCCTATTGATGTCAATGAAAGTTAAGCACCTAACCTGCAGACTTACATTTACAAGTGTTATTTCTGTATCTGAAGAGACTTCTGCTTCGGTAAGTTTTTACCATTGCACTCTTTCTTCTGATTTCTAAAAGACAAAAAGCTCCTCTCCATAGGCCGAGATACCCTTATATCAATTTACCAAGGCATTTCATGGTTAAAAGCTCAAGGGCCCAGCCCACAGAAAATACCTCCACCTGGCTCAACAGTTTAACCTAGGAGCCCCCTGTGTAAAAACGGTCATCTCTAAGAGCCCTTGCAGATGCACGAATGGAGCGGTGACCTATCCAAGCTGGCTGCATCTTAACAAAACCGTGCAAAACCGAGTCTACTATAGCTTCTCTCCCCTGCCGTACAAGCACCAGCATTGCTTAGCACTTCTGCTGTATTATACAATATCTGCACAGGTGCAGTTTCAGCAGCATTTTTATGAACTCATTGCCTTCGAGGCAGTTGAGAAATTGACTTTTAATATTAAACACGAGGAAATTATTAAAAAGGGGGAAAGGGAAACCCCCTATTAAATCTCACACCTTTGATTCAGGTCATTAACTTTTCATGCTGCCTCATCGCCTTTTCTTGCCGGAGTTGTTTTTATGCAAGATTTATGATGTGCCTGTGAAATGCTCGAAGCGTATTGTGTTTTTCCCCTCCCATGACTGACTACAATCTACTCACCATGGACAATGATTTACGTTTCATTTCCTTGCCTGAAAAGGTTATGAAAATATGCCCGTTCATGAGCTGCTGGAAGACCCTAGAGAACAGGGAAACGGTTTATTTAGATAACTCTACAGGGGAACACGGTCATAATTTCAAAAGTGCTAAGTACCCCAAACTCCAATTTAAGTCACTGGGAGCTGCAAGTGCTCAGCCCCTCTGGAGAAACAGACTCACCCCTGTTTAACATCTGCATGTGAATACTATGGGCCTGATTCTCTACTTGCTTGCATATGTTGTCATTTGTCGGTGCAAAGTGAGTGGGAAAAACTCCAGACTTCTGAATGGGGAGCATTTTTACTCTAGCTTTGCAAAGGTGTAAGCCATGCCATATGAAAGACAATGGAAAGATCAGGTCCACTGTTTCATTCACAGACTTACTCAAGGTAAGAAGTGACTGACAGGTGTGGAGCTAGCCAAGGTATCGTGCAACTGTTTTATGGTGTTGAGTCTTGGGGTGGGATTTTTCAAAAGCACCGAGGAGTCCAGGTCTTGAAAGTTAATAGGATTTAAGTGACTTGGATTTTCAAAAGCATTTAGGCTCCCAACTTTTTATCTTAACAGGGCACAGGAATGTCATTAAAACCCAACGCTGCTTGTTCAGACAGTAGCCATAACAGGTCCATTTTAGGTATTCCCATCTCTGCAGTGAAGAGTGGCATTCTTAAATGTAAATTATCTGGTCCAAATATCTTTTCTGTACACAGTGATTAAATATGTACTGAGGGGAATCTGTTCAGCTGTAGTTCTACTTGGAAAAGGGGCATGTGAACACCCTTCTAGAAGTAACTCTAGAAAGGCAGAGGAACCCAGAGGGGTTAACACCATGTGCGAAAAAGAACTGCATCCACATTTGTCGCCCTATTCGTTGCCATTTCTGCATCAGTATGGCACATGGCTTGTATGGACGAGAGAGGGACTGGAACTGCACCCTCCTTTCCCACTATAATCCAATCACCATGAGCCAGCACCACAACACTGATTCTAGAGTGTTTGCTGACTCCTTGTATATAAACATCAATGTGAGACTCCTACCTCACTTGGAAGGGATGTAGGTAAAAGTGGCACCTTCTGAACTGACAGATCTGCTCTAGATATGTATTTAGGGTCATATGTGGCAAACTGACTGGCTAGAATCAATTTCTATGGCTTTTACTCATGGTAGACCTGCAGACCCAATGACATATGGGAGAATGAGCTCCATTTTGTTCTTGCCAATACATCTTTGGCAGATCTGTTCAAATCCCAAGCGCAGAATCTTTACTGCTGTACACCAAGTGCAGTTGGGAGAGTTATTTGTATCAGGCTGGGAGTTTGTGCAATGTATTTATTGAATGTGTCAAAATAATATACATCTGAATAAAACCTGGAGAGACTAAGGGGAAGGCTCTCCTGGGAGACCATGTAGGGTTATTAATGGTTTGTATTAATCCAGCTGCCACTCAGACAAAACACAAAACAAACCCTTCAACCACTGCACAATTGCTTTTTTTCAGTAAAAATGTAAATTGCCTCAGCAACTCTAGGTGTCCACTATCAATGTGGAAAAAATCTCTTACCCTGAACACCTAGAGGAGCTGAAGAAATTTAAATTCTTCCTGTAAAAAGAAAGCACTTGTGAAATGGTTGAAGGGGTGTGTGTCCGTCCGTCAGTCTCTCTCTTGCAGCTGGACCAAGCAAGGTTACATTGATGCTAGTGCTCACACCCTCAAGGTCTTTATCAACCCTTGCTACAGAAGCACCTACCCAAGAGATGTACAATGTGCACATGTTAAAAAAAAAAAAAAGCTCATGTGGTGAATTGAGGCAAGCCACTGACCAACAAGCACTTCATTTTTTTGCACCAAAGGCCATGAGAAGGCTTTGGAGAAAATGTAAAAGTTACACAGAGATGATGGTCCAGTGGTTAGGGCACTAGCTGTGGGCCTGAGAGATCCAGGTCCCTGCTCTGCGATGGACTTCCTGTGACAACCTGGGCAAGCCACTTGGCATCTCTGCCTCAGTTCCCCCACTTCTAAAATGGGAATAAAAAAACCCCACTACCCACCCTCCTGGGAGCTGAGCACATACACACATTTAAGATTGTGAGGTTCTCAGAAACTATGGGTAATGAGGACTACAGAAGTATTCTAGCTAGAGAGATCCTTAGATGGAAGATGGGCAGCTCTCTCAGCCAGAACAGGCTGAGTTGTGACACTTGTCCAGTTATCGGCTTGTGTAATGACAAACATTAACTAGACATTAAAAAACCATAAAATTTTATTTAATTCCCAGCAGCCGGAGGCAGATAATCCGTGTCTCACCACATACAGCTCTATTGCCTTCTCTTGCCTTGCCTGTTTAAGGACTCTTCCAGTCAGTCCTATCTGTAAGAATTTGCCTTGTGTTTAGGCAGGAAGGTAAAGTTTGTAGGTACAGGCCCCAAAAGCATCTCACTGCAACAAAACAGATTTGTATTCAAATACATTCAGATTCTGACAATACCTCAAACTAACACACAGTCATGCAACATCCACTCTGTGGTAGGCTAGGCTCTCTTTGCAGTAGGAACTAGGGGGTCGATTTTCAATTTAGATGCCAAACTCCCACAGACTTTCAGATGCCTTATTCTCAAAAAGTTGAATTTGTGTCTTGAAACTCCCCATCCCACCTCTCCTTCTGCTTACGCTGAGCTCGAGACACAGTTGGTGCTCATATGTTAACGACCCAGATCCCTCAGTTGGTGTATCATGACATAGCTGGTGTAGATCTGTGTAGCCCCATTGACTTCAATGGAGTTGAGGATCTGTCCCATCAATACTACAGAACTCTAATATATCTAAGTACTAAAAGTTCACATTAAGGAATATTATGGTTTGTTGTCTTGTATATAAAATGTTTACAACCAAAATTCCCAAGAAACCAATGTTTTATTAATGCAGTATCATTATAATTTTCCACAAGACAAGACATGTAGGCAGTGAAATCCAGTAGAGTGAGCAACTATGTACCAACAGCTATAGACCTTCGGCATGAATATAAAGCTATCTGAATGCAGAGCAGACACTGTATACATTATAACCACACTTCTGGAAGCAGGCTAGTACTTACCTTCTTTTTTTTACCTTGAAGGTGACAAATATATTTTATTAAAGTGCACAGAGACTTAAAATATAAAGTTTTAAACGTTTTCATACTTCCAGTGAGCAGTATAGAACAAAGGAGCTAACTCGATACTGAAGTTGCAAGGCTCTGCTTGGAAAATGGCATTTACAAAACTTGGCTGAAATGTACCGTTCTAGTAACTTGGTTGTAGGCAGCTGTTTCCAATACTAACAAAATGGACAAGGATTAGCTACTCCCCCCCCCCCCCCCCCCCAAAAAAAACGGACAAGGCTGCTGCCATGTTCCATTTTTGCTTCTTTTCTGTTTCCATGGGATGGGACATAGCAGCTGGCTACACTCTCAATGCCATTTCAACCATGGGGCTGAAAGTCTGCAGAGTCACTTTTCAAGCAGTGTCTGTAGACTTTTGGATGCAAGAAGAAAAAAAAAAGGCTCCTGAAGTCTAATTCTGAAAGCCTGCAGTGGATTGGAGAGGGGAAAGTCCAGCAACTCCCCAAGCTGTGGAATTACCTAGACTGGAAGCTCTTTGGGGCAGGGGCAGTCTTTTTGTTCTGTTTTGTACAGCACCTAGCACATGACTGGGATTCCTACGCGCTACTGCAAGACAGATAAATAATATACTGGGTACTGTGCAGTCAGTAAACTTGAAAAAAAAAAATCACATTAATTTTCCTCCTTGGTAACAGCCTTCAAATCATGGTGTGGGAAGCACACTAAGTGTCAAATCCTCTAGGTTTATATTAGCATCTCAGATACGACTTCTCTCAGTATAGGCATCTGTGGGCACGTACAAACAAGGAGAGAGTAATATGGCAATACAAGGCTTAACTGAAAACCTACTGAAGTGAAGGTATTGCACCATTCTAGTCAGTCTCTTACTGTCACTTACTGTGTTGGGGAAGTAGACCACGATCCTAACCAACCCTACAGAATTCTCATATTGAGTTGGGAGGTGGGGAGAGAAGGCAGGATAAAATATGAAGTTCCCATGATCTTTCCATGCCAGTATGATTGTGCATCATCTGGTATTTGAATATTAGGTTGCAGGATGAAATCACTATGACCAACTGTCTATTTTATGACAACTGTTAGCCATTTACCTTATTTTAATCCAGTCGTCCACGTTTTGGCTTGCCATTAAGGTCTCCAGATAGTCTCTTCCCATGTAGTAAGGAGGCCGCTCATTGATTTTCTGAGGTAGGTACTCCAATAAGCCAGCTGGAATATACCTCACAATGCAAATACATATATTAAATGTCACTGAATTTTATTATTCTACAGTAGAGGCAGAGACCCAACAAGAAAGGTTTCTACCAAAGATGTTTGTGAAACCAAGTTACCTGCACAAAAATGACAGCCATTCCAGCATGAACTTCCTGGTTTTCTCCACCCCTTGGGTATCCGAACCCCAGTGTTCAAGGCCATAATTGGTGAAGTCTTTGAGAATATCAAATCTTTCATTGGAAGAGATGTCCCAGTGTCGCTGTTCTTTAACTTCAGTGAAAATCCAAGGTTTGATCAATGCCCCTCTGTGGTCAGACAAGATTGGATCAGAAAGGAAAATGGTTGTAACCAAAGACAGGGCTTTCCAGCTATAAGACTGAAGTTTAGCTACAGACTTGTATATGTGAGACATGGGATGACTCCAGCCAGACAGCATTTGTGTTACTGAGTTACCTCCCCGTGGGCACAGGAAGACTGCATTTCATTTTCTAGTTAAAGCCTCCTACAAACACAGCTCTGGCAGGAGGATCTGACCACTAACCAGACAATCCAGCCTTTTCAGGGAATCTGCTGGTTTTCACTTTGACCTTTTGGGGCTCAATTCTGTACTCTTATATGATCAACTCCCATTGACTTTCCTGGACAATGCACCCTGGCAAGTGAGAGAATAACTGAGCCCCAACTATTGTTTTTTTTCCCCATGTGTCCCATTTATTTATACTCCAGGAGCTTGCCTAGAGCCAAGACAGAACATGGAGTAATCATGTACCAGCATCTATTTAACCTCAGGGATAACAGGAGGTGTGGGAAATTGACTAATAAATATTAAACACCTGAGGGATGAAAGGCATTAGGAAGTCTGTTTCTAAATTACTTAAGCCTTAGAAAATTCCACCCAGAGAGGTTGTGACTGAGCTAATGTCACACAGGAAGCAGATGCCAGAGAACTAGATCAAGGTTTTATTCCCTACTCAGGTCTATTCTTTAACCACAAGAGCCCATAAAAGTGAGAGTCAGGGCAGAGCAAACATAAGGTTAATCAGCAGGATTACTCTAAGGCTGGGATCTGAGAAGTGAAATTGGAAGTAGCTTCTGAAGGGGGAACAGATTCAATTCTCCAACAGATAAGAGACAGGCCAAATTGATCAGGGATTAGACAAAATGGTCCCCAGACCTCCAAATCACTTGTGCTGTGCTGTCCAATGTCAGAACCAGTTTAATCTGCATTGCAATATCAGAAAGGGAGATCATCAAGGCTGGAGCTTTGGATCTAAAGAGACTTGCGTTTTTTCAACCTGCTAGCTGATTAAGAGTTATGCCAACCCTATGAGCAGCAGCTTCTATCCCACAGATTAAACAGGAGTGTCACCCAAATCATGTGCTCAAGAGCCTGGTTTGACTGCGAATCATTTGCAATACCATGCACTTCTGCTTACAGCTCTCTGTAAGCTGATGGTGCCCCCTTTAAAGGCTACACCAGAAGTAGCAAATAGTGCTGTAGCTTTCAACTCCCATGGGAGTCCTCTTATGCCAGATACACTGTAACAAGCCTCCAAGAACAGCCTTGCCAAGGAGGAAACCCTTGTTGTCGTGGTGTTTTTGTTTTTTTTTAAACCTCATGCCTCCAGCTTCCATCCAGGACACACCACACGATCCATTGTCTACAGCTAAGCTCTAAGATATAACCGCATTTGCTCCAATCCCTCAGATAGAGACAAGCACCTACAAGATCTCTATCAAGCATTCTTAAAACTACACTACCCACCTGCTGGAGTGAAAAAACAGATTGACAGAGCCAGATGAATACCCAGAAGTCACCTCCTACAAGACAGGCCCAACAAAGAAAATAACAGAACACCACTAGCTGTCACCTTCAGACCCCAACTAAAACTTCTCCAGTGCATCATCAAAGATCTACAACCTATCCTGAAAGATGATCCCTCACTCTCACAGATCTTGGGAGACAGACCTGTCCTCACTTACAGACAGCCCCCCAACCTAAAGCAAATACTCATCAGCAACCACACACCATTGAACAAAAACATTGACCCAGGAACCTTTCCTTGTAACAAAGCCTGATGCCAACTCTGTCCACATATCTATTCAAGTGACATCATCATAGGACCTAATCACATCAGCCATACCATCAGGGGCTCGTTCACCTGCACATCTACCCATGTAATATATGCCATCATGTGCCAGCAGTGCCCCTCTGCCATGTACATTGGCCAAACCGGACAGTCTTTACACAAAAGAATTAATGGACACAAATCTGACATCAGGAATCATAATACTCAAAAACCAGTGGGAGAACACTTTAACCTGTCTGGCCATTCAATGACAGGCCTGCGGGTGGCTATCTTACAACAGAAAAACTTCAAAAACATACCCCACCTAGAGTTTGCTGCCCTGAAATTTATATGCAAACTA